CACACACACACACACACACACAAACACACACATATGAATTTCAAGGATTTTTTCTTTTAAAATTAAAAGTTCAAGGAGCAAAGTAAAATCAAGCAATAGCTCAAAGAGTTATGGCATACACATTGCTTAACTAATTTTGGAGAAATTCTATCCAGCAAGATTGTAGCCAACACAGTCAACAAAGAGTCATTAAAACCAAGCAATGTAATGAAAAGAAAAAAGACAGACCAGATAAAAATGATGAATACTAATCAAACTTATAACAAGACCTTGATTAAATACTTGAAATGCAACGAATTGACAGGTAGATATCAGGAAAACTAGAAATGTCAGAACTCAGACTGCATGGTTCTTATTTACTTGATTGGTGCAATATTAATGATTTAATCTATGGCCTAACCATAGTCTGGAACTTTAGATAAAGCACAAGGGAGTAAGTAGTCATTACTTGGCACCTTAAGCATCATTCTTCACCCCTCTAACTATTTACTCCTCAAGAATCCAACACATGCAATTTATTGTAAAGTTAATAAACAAAACCATATAAAGATAGTGATCCATCAATTAAATTATAAAAGAGAGAATAAGACTAATAACAACTGAAAACATGCTACTTGTTTTCAAGCTAATAAAAAAAACACCTGACAAGACTAACCCCTCAGTACAACACTACAATGATATAAAAATGAGAAAAAGGAAAAGCAAGAAAAGTCAATGTATAGATTTTATTCCATCCTACCAATGATAAGACCCCAAGCCTCCAGTATACTGTAAATGTCCAGATGAAAGACACTAAATACTGCTTATCAAGGTCAAGAACCAAGTGGGTGGAAGGGAGTACGGAGACAATAGATTTTTGACTTAAAACCAAACCATATTGTAGCTCACTTTTATAAGGGTCAAGAATATAAAAAATAAATATCCCAGAAATAGATATATAAATGGCTGAATATCCCAATTCACATTATATAGGCAACTTCCCAAAACAACGAGACTATTGATCAATTATCAAGCAACACATTCATAAAACAGTGACACTAATATATAATACAGAAAGCATTTTAGTTCTATTTGATTTAAAAGTAACATAAAAGCAAAGAGCTAACCTTGTGGCAGGATCAACCTGTTTCAACAGAGAATTATTAGGCACAACAACCTCAGAAACAGGCGTCTTCATGGCCTTCTCTTGATTCTCCAAGCATTCGCTTTTGGCCAAGAACGCAATAATATCAAGAGAAGTGAGAATGCCAACAAATCTCTGTTGCCTTATCTCACCGTTCTCCATCACACCAACATGCTGTCTTTTCCTCCAAACTGGAATGCTGCATTCTGTGGACTCTCCTATAGCTCGAATTGCTGACTCAACCGTCTCCGTTTCAAGAAATTCGACAAGCTCCGGCTTTCCTACAGTCAGATCGCCGACCACATGATACAGAAACACCGATGCCATTCCAATTTTCTGTTTTTTTATCCAAACACCAACATTAAGCAACAAAACCAAACAAAATTTACCATTTCTACTAGTATTCTTGTACAAAACGAAATTAAGGGTTCATCATCCATTACCTCAATTTCTTCAACAGAATAAAGGGTACTCGTCCAATCAAACAAAGTCGAATTCTTTAAACTCCTCCCCACTTTTCCTCAACCATTGAAGTTAAAGAAAAGCACTTTTCCAGATCCCAGAAACTGAAACCACACAGGGTTCTCAGAATCTTCAATCTGAATCCAACGATTAATAACCCTTTTCGAGTTACAGTAAAAGGAACAAGATGAAAGCAGAATCTGCCAACAGAATCAAAGTTGGATACTTGGAAATTGGAACCTGGAAGTATGATATTCCTTGGAGGTGGATTACCGGTGGAACCGGTGAGGGAAGCAAGAGCTATAAAAGGGTGTGGAGGAATATGAGGAGGAGATCAAATCCAGTGATGGGTAGTCTGTAAAGGATCAGAAGGAAGACAAGACTTGCAATTGCCATTGAAGCAGAGGAAGGAAGGAAGTAAGGTTAAAGCCCATGAACAATCTGGGTCTCCGGCAGAAGGGAGCTCTAAATCTGACGCTAGGAGATTTTTTTCTAGAGAGTTCCTCGTGGGAAAAGAGATTTAGAGAGGAAGAAATATTTTGATGAATTATTGGAGATGTGGGGTTTTATATATTGTAGCGGTGGCTCGGCGGCATCACTACGTGCAGTTGTTCAGTCACCGTAGACTCTAGACGGCAGTATATTTACGACTAAAATAACTAAAATAATTATTAGTGTATTTTTTTTATTAAATTCAAAATATATTTATTAAAAATTAAAGGTTATTATGTATTAATTTGGAGTCTTAAAAATAATTTATGTTTTAATTTATATTTAAAAATTAAAATTTT